TATAGTTTTAGTAGAATATACCCCAAACCCTATTCTAATCATAAAAAGGCCCCTACATTACTTTGGACCCTTTTCGAAGCCCGGTGGGTGTGTCCAAGGGCCTCGGTAAATCCTCCAGGACGACGAAGTCTCGCCTGGCCTCTTTAGGGTTCATGGTCCAAGGTTTAAGGTTTGGGCTTGGGTCCAGGGTTTAGGGGTTAGGGTTTAGGTTTAGGGGCTAGGGGTTAGGGTTTAGGGTTTGGGGGTTTAGGGGTTTAAGGTTTCAGGCTTACAAGATGTCAGGGTTTCAGGGTTTGAGGGTTTAGGGTTCACGGTTGAGGGGTTCAGGGTTTAAGGTTTAAGGTTCAAACGAGCTCAGGGCTTTGCGGGATGTTTTGGGCGTGTGCTTTTTGGGGCTTACGTGAGGTTTTTACAGTGTCTTGTAAGGATCTTTGTTGTTAACGTTAAAAAATATATTCCTGTGCTTAATACAAGAGGGGCTTGCACGGGCTTCATCGTCAATAGGCTTTACGCGGGGGCTTCATAATCATGTAGAGATGTATAGAAAAGTCTGCCTTTTAATCAAGCACCTACGTAAACCCTAAACCCTAAACCCTAAAGATATTCAAGCGCGTATATCAAAGCGCGTACATCAAAGACTGGTCATGCGGACAGTCGCAAAGCGAGGGAACAAAGCACAGGCGTCCTCTTCGTCTTCTGGTTGGACCAATACATAACAGTAAGGATCCCTGGTAAACGAAACATAAAGGGCTCCCTTGTGGCATTGGGCAGAGACCTTTCACTGAAAATGGAGAAAGGGCCCACTAGTCCCACTAGCTAGCCAGTATTGCCTGTTCTGGAATCTGCATGTTCCGGGCGTACAGGGCTCTAAATTCAGAGGCCAGGGTTCGGGATGAAGTTCGGGATAGGGGGCTCAAGACCATCGTTTGAGCCTTTCGTGCCTGGTGGGCTTTGTTATGAGCCAAATCAGTTCTCCGAAGGTCCAGTCCCAGAGGTCCGAAGACAGCCTCGTTATCCCCGAGCTTCATGTCAAGAATGTCCACCTTGCTCTGGATCCGCACAGCCTTCAGCGAGAGCAGAATCGCTGAACTAAGCCTTATAACACCCCAAACCCCCGCGTTACATCTTCCCAGTGGATGAACCTCAACCTCGCCACGAACATCTTGAAGCTCGCGGGCTTCCGGGGGCACCTTGTCAAGCCTCACGAACCCTTGACGGTAGTCTCCTTGATCTTTTGTTATTACGATTGAGATTTAGGGACGTTGAGACCTCTAGATCTGCATAGACCCGAAACCATGAATTCTCATGCGAAGGGTCCAAAATACGCAAAAAACCAAGTACGCGGATTTAGGATAATCCGGATAATCATTCGGCACTCACATCCTGAAGCCTGGACGCCATGCCCGAAAATGCTGCTCCTGCTTCCCTCACCCAGTCAGAAGAAAGACAGGCCCCTCAAAGCAAAGAAGCCTGAACTACGAAGCCGTTCTGCCCTGAGCCCCATCCAAAACCCATCCTTTTCAGGGTGCTGCACATACAACTTGAACAGGCCTTTAGGGGTTTCAAGAGTTAGAGGTCTGTCAAAGCCAGCTTTGTAGGCTTCAGGCTTTAGGGTTTCGGGATCCGGGGCTTTCGAGGGCGCTCTTCGCGGCTTTATGCACATAGCACAAGCTCTACCCATAGGCCCCATAGTAGTTCCTTTTGGGGGATTACCTTATAGGATTCTATATATGAACCCCAAAAAAAGGAACTACTTTAGGGCCCATGGGTATTCACCCTTTCGTCAAGACCTCTACGAGGTGGGACCTAGCAGAGCCGACTTCTGTAGGGGCCTTACATATTAGAATACGAGTTTGGGGCCCATGATACTACAATTATAGTAAGGAACCCCCAAAATAGTATTTTGGCATTTATCTAGGCCCCTATTTTACTATACTATAATTATAGTAAGGAACCCCCCAACAAATAGTATTGGTAATTATTTAGGCCCCCTATATTATGCAGGTTGCTGGCTACCGGGATTCGGCCTGAAATTACGACGTCTCACTGAGCCCATCGATGTACTCGGCTGCGCCGCGCTCCGTGCAGACGGTGGGCGACCTGTCGAATCCCTGTGCGTTCTTCCGTCTGGTGCTTAGTAGGGAATGCGGGAATGGGTTATAGGGGCTACTATAAGGGACCTTAAGGGACTATCATAGGGATCCATTCCCCCATTCCCTACTAAGCACCAGACAGTCTTCGGAGATCTCCGGTGCCCAAAACCACTTTGCGTGAAGGCCGTTGGTCACCGGTAGGATGCTCCAGGATGCGCCCAGGGCCTGTAAGCCTCCATGGCTATGGGCCCATCTATCAGCCTTGGCTCCCACGGTTCAGGGTGTGCTTGGCCAGAATCTCGCCGAGGCCGACCGGCTGGTACTTGTCTGCCGCTAGGAACGAGGGCTGGGCTTGCGAGCAACCGAGGAGAAAGGTCGAGAGTGTAAACTGTACGGAAAGAAACGGCTCAAACACTGGAAGGAAACTGCGGTACTCATGAAGCTAAACCTTATGGGATTTGGGTCCTAACCCAAAGGGTCTAAGTACTTATATGGTAGGTACTTTGGAACCCCAAATACCTACTATATGGGTACTTAGACTCTTTGGGTAAGGAGTTCAGGCTCAGGGATTTGTGACGCTTCTGTGCCGGCCGAAGCGCCCGGGAGTCAGGATGCCCCGACGACGGTCCTTGGCCACATGGAGGGTCCTTTTTGGGAGTTTCCGAAAATTGGGGTACCTTATTTTGGGGTCCTTATAATAAGGATCCTATTATTTAGGGTATTATATTAGGGTCCCCTATTTTTGGAAATCCCCACTTGGGGTTCGGGCTTAGGGTGTAGGTTTCGAGGGTTGGGGGTGTAGAATTCTCGGATTTGGGCCTAGGTAAGATCCTGTGCTGCATAGATCCGCTGTGGGGGGCAGTGCGGATCCCTAGTCCATAAAGTCGAAAGGGCGTGTGACTGTGATTTGTGTGTTTTGTTGGTGTTGTCGTCTCTATGCAAGTGGTCTTGGCTGGTTGGGCCTTGGGAGTTTGGGTCAGCTGCGGAGATCAAAACGCCCGCTTTTGACTGTTGTCAAGCGAAGCACTTCCTGCTTTGACCGGCGGGGGTGGGGGGGGGTCGGTGGCGGTGGTGCAGCCTCACAGTCTTACTGGCTCCTAGCTACATTCTCGATACTTCCACAAGCTACAGAAGAAAAAAAACCTTTGCTTTTAGCCCGACTGCAGGTAGTACACTGTGTGGTATCTCGCAGGCTTACAGTGCCCACACAACGACAGAAAAGAAAACCCTCACTCTGGGTGTTGGCTCCGAGGACAACGAGTCTGCTCGACAATACCTTCAACCTTTACACACAAAGCCCAAAACTTAACGAATACCTGCACCTCTTCCGCTCGCAGTTGCGACCATCACATTCACTAACTATCAGAACTACTACCATAGTTGCTGCGAGTCAGATACTTCTGACCAGCAAAACTCTACCATTGCTTTACAGCTGTACTCTGCTTCTTGTCTGCACTACCACTGCTGGTATTTGACTGTGCCCTGAGTTCCATGTGCCTAAACAGTGTAGACTCTGGCCTGAGAGCGGTCATCAAAACTATTGATAAGTGCGATCAGTCTTGCTACTATGTTCTGAGCATCATTGCCAATACCCTAAACCCTAAAACCATAAACTCCCTAAACCCCTAAAGCCCTTTAGCGCTAAACCCCAAACCTCTGCAAGCCCTAGACCCACAAACCTCTGCAACCCAAAACCTCTAAATCACTAAAAACCCTAAAACCCAAAAAACACTAAACCCCTGTAGCCCTAAACCCCAAACCTCTGCAAGCCCTAAACCCAAAACCTCTACACTCCTAAAACCCTATAAACCCCTAAAGGTTTTGTGTGTTCCGAGAGCCCGATACGCCTTACCTAAGGAATCTACCTTGACTTACGCGGGGCTTAGCTTTGCATTTAAGGAATATACCTTAAGTTATAAGGGGCTTCATCCTACATGATTTAAGGTATCTATTCCTCAGTTAAGGTTAAGGAATATACCTTAAGCTATAAGGGGCTCAATATTTTGTGATTTAAAGTCTATATTCCTGAATCAAGGGGTATTGGGTTCTCTGGGCTCTGCTCCGAGAGGCTGGAGGACGCAACTTCGCTGGCGTTGTCGGTCTCCTCGGAGCTCAGCAGGACGCGGCTGGTCCTTCTTCCGGGAAAGAACGCGCCACTTTGAGAGGGGTTTAGGATTTCGGGCTTAAGGGGTTTAGGGCTTGCGGCTTTTGGGAGTAGGGTTTGGGTGTATGGTTCACTCAGGGACTTATAGGGTCACAAAGCAAAACCATGTGACAGGTCGGGCTTCGATTTCAAGAGCTACGATTTGTTGTAGACCCCTGATTAGGAAACACCCTTTCTTAAAGGGTCTCCATGTTAAGATCCCTGTTGTCATCCGTTGTGAAGAAGGGAGAATAGATTCAGGTATTTGTGGGTATCTGCCATACAGATACTTAGGAGACTTAGGATCCTTATTGCGAAGCACAGAACTTCGGCCTTCTAAATGCGGATTAAGACTTGTGTTGCCCTGCTAGGGTTTGGGAAAGCTGCTTTAAGGGAGTGGGGTTTAGGGTCTCGGGGTTGTAGTTGCAAGATGCAAACATCGGGTGTGTTGGAGGGGGTTGGGATTCCAGTTCTGAAGGCTTGGGGCAGTTTGGGTGTTGTGGCGATTTGCGCTGGTAATCTGAGCGACATATCGGGTTTGGCGACCACAGCAGAACCACCCTTCTCCAAAGGTTCTAAACTTAGGCTTCTATACTATTTCAAGCTCATACTAAGCTAACCTAAAACCATGCCACACCTTCTGAAACACACATGGGTGGTTGTCAAAATTAGGGTCCCTTTTTGGGTCCTTGTTATATTACGGCACCTAATATTTAGGGCACCCCAAAAGGGACCCTAATTTTGACAACCACCCACATCTTAAAAATGCTACGTAGTCAAGAGCAAACCCTAAACCCTAAACCCTAAACCGCAAAGCCAGCTGCAGGAAGCCTGGTGCGCGTGGTTCGGCGCGCGGGTTGGGGCAGCAGCGCCTGGAGTGGCGGATGCAAGTCGCGACTAAGG